CATAAAACTCATCAAGGCATGGCCGGCTGTTGAGTCGACCAGGTTATCAATTTTAGGCAGAGGGTAACTGTCTTTGGGGCACGCCTTGTTCAAGTCTGTGTAGTCTACACACATTCGCCAGGTGCCATTCGGCTTTTTAACAAGTACCACATTTGCAACCCAATGATTGCTATTTTCTTGCCAATGATTGCTATTTTCTTGCTTTTCTTGCGGACTCAGTCTGGAGTGCCTTTCTCTTTTTGTCGCCTGTTTCTTGAACAGGCGCACTTTCCTTGACATTGTCAAGGTCTGTTTTTTCTCCACTTGACCCAGTGGCCATAACAGTGGGCTTGACATCCGAGAGATAGCACTCTCGGGCCATCCTCTGATCTCCCCTAAGGGAGCCGACTGTTCCATTGTCCCTTTCAAACTTAAGCAGCATAAGTGACGGGATTATAACAGCCTTGGAATTATTCAGGGTTGGTCGACCCAGAATCATGTTGTAGGCAGAGAGTTCCTCTACCACTAGGAACCGGACTACCATGTGTCGTCCTTCCCCTTTTTCGCCCAGGCGGATGGGTAGATCTACTCGTCCCAGTGGGTGGACGACTCCTCCCCCAAACCCTATTAAAGGGTGGGAGGCCGGATGTATGCAGTCCGTCTGATATTTCAGTTTTGATAGACATTTGCTGCTGATGAGATCTGAAGAGCTCCCGGTATCTATGAGGATTCGGCCAACTCTCTGGTTGGCCACTTTACATTCAATAACGAGAGGGTCGTCATGCGGCCCCCTTATTCCTCCTAGATCCTCTTCAGTGATGACAATCTCAGGAAATGTATATTTGGACGGTCGTTCTTGGTGAACGGAATTTACATCTAACCGCCTTATATTATCTTTGTTGCCCCTAATAGAGGGGCCGCCTCCTGAGAAGCCGCCTGCAATGGTGTAGACGACTGCATCATCTGTATCAGAACTGTCGGCCTGCTGATTCTTTTTGGCCGACTGCTTTTTTGAGGAAGTGTTTCCCGCAGATTTCTTGACATAAGTGTCAAGATCACCTTGATCAGCCAATCGGTCTAGGTACCGCATGAGACTGATGCAGTCATTGGTGTGATGACCAATGTCATCATGATAAGCACAGATTTTGTCTTGGTTCCGGTTGCTCGCAGAACCCTTCATGGGGAGCGGCTTCTCAATTGAGAGCCGTCCCTTTATTTCTTTTAGGATAAACTGGTTATCCTTGTTAAACACATATTTTGGGGAGTATGGTTTGAATTCTTTTTTCTTTTTCTGGGCCGGCTGTTTAGAGGAATCAGCCGCCCAGACCCCTTTTCTTTTTTCATCCTTGTTGGACGACTGTTTCTGTCGTCCCTCTCTATTGTCGAACCTCTTCCCGTCCGACTGTTTCATCGTACACAGATCAGTCGCCTGTATATAGGCTTCTGCTTCAATCAAGGCCTCTTGAAGAGTCGCCACCCTTTTTCGAACTAAATCAAATTTGAAGGTAGACCCGTCTTTGAGACCTCTAAAAAAGTCAGTATAAGCTACCTCATCCGGTAACCCTTGAATCTGTATTCTCATCAGGTTGAACCGCCTGATGTAGGAACGAAGCCCCTCCTTTTCACCCTGCTGAATTGTTCCCAAATCAAGGGTCGTTTTCTTCGCAGGGATGTTCATTGCGAAGTTGGAGGCAAATAAGTAAGCAAGCGTCCTGAAGCTGTTTACACAACCAGTCGGCAGGTTGCTGAACCATTGCTGTGCAATTCCCTTGAGAGTCGCTGGGAAACACTTGCACCAAGTGGGATCATCCAACCCTTGAAGGTACATCAGGTTGGTGAATGCCATCAGATGGTCTTCCGGGTTAGTAGTGCCATCATAGGCGCCTACTAAAACATTTTTTACTTTGGCCGGCTGAGCGGCTTCAGTAATTTCCTTGGAGAAGGCCGACGGCTGTTCACCAAGTCTAAGCAGCCGTAGCTGCCAGTCCATAGGTTGGACGTTTTTTGCTGCAGGTCCACCAAATGGAGGTGGCTGCATAAAATACTGTTGTTGCGGCACAAATGGTAAGTTTGGTACCGCCTGGGCACTATGAAAGTCGGACTGACGGGAGGTGCCGCCTGACTGACTCTCATGGTACGACTGAGTTGGCCTCATCGAGGCGTTTCGCAAACTGTCCTGAAAATTTGAAGTAGAAGCCGACTCCGATAATCGGTCACTCTTCTTCTGCTCTAGCAGGTGCCGAGCATCTGTGAACGTTTGCTTTGACCCGTCCGCCTGAATATGACGAACCGGTTTCCTATTTCCCGTAGGGTAACGGAATTTTGTGAAATCAAGAGCAGACGGTTCCCGCTTCTTGGATTTAGGATGGGGAGTCGCCTCTCGCCCTTGAACTGGCTTCCTCCTCAGTGAAGTGGAAGGTTTCTTGGCCGACTGCTCTTTGACTGAAGCAGGCGGTTTTTTTGTTGATCAACTCTTGGATCTCTCCCTTGAAGTCCCTCATGAAGGTCATGAGTTCGTTCCTTGTGATGGGAGCAGACCCATCAGTCGGCTGTTGCCGAGCAAGCGGTGCGCCTGCTGGCTCGCTTCCTGTTTGAAGATACTCCCGTTCCCTTATTTCAGTATGACGGGTACGGCGGGCCCTTAGGGTCCCGTCTGGAGCTGTATGAGTTTCAACTTCAAATTCACTTTCGGTATCATGGTCCGACTGAACTTGAGGGTCGTCTAGGGGACGCCTCTCTTCTGGAGTCGGTACAGACTTGGATGCCATCTCTGAAGTACTCTCCCCACAGACGGCGCCAAATGTTTCGGGGTTTTCTGATGTCCTGCGGGAGAGTTACAATTCCGAGACTGGAACCGGACGTCTGTACCTGCAAAATAACGGAGACTCCTGAGAGCTCCGCCTCCAACGGTCAAGTTAGTACCTGATTAAGGAGTAATCAATACAGAAAGTAAAGTAATGAGATCTCTCTAGGTGAGAGTGCTTAGTGTTGGTAATCTGCGTCGTTAGCGAGATTAGCCGGTTGTTAATAAGTCTGTTCTTCTCTGCTTGATCTCTTAATTATTCGGTTGTTTTTTTTGTTTTTTGATTAATGAGGATTAATCGAGTATTTATAGCCTTGGGAAGCGTGCAACTCTCTAGGCTTAAGGTAAACCTAGGGCTGATCGGGCCTCTAGACTGAAATGGGCCTTGATGGCCGGTTGTCCCACTTGGCATGGGTGGACACGTGGCGTGTCTTAAGTGGTCCGTGGAGGACGTATCTGTGACTGACACGTGGCAAGCTCCTGTTGGCCTTCGTGAAGGACACGTGGCGGAACCTGGTTGGTCCACTTGTCAGACGGTGATTGGTGGATAAAAATCCCCTAATCAGCCACAACCACATATAAAAATTTGTGGTGTTAAGCAGATCAACAAAAGGATTTTAATATTTTTCATATTCTCCATCCTCTCACTCACTTTTTTTTTTTTTTTTTTTTTTTTTTTTTTTTTTCAGATTCTCCCTCTTCCCTACTTATACTCACTTTTTTTATTTTCTTTTTTTGGAGTTCTTTAATCTTCAACCAACCCAAATCTATCATATTTTTATTATTTTCTACCATTTTTCTCAAAACTCCATGCATAGAGAAATATAGCAAGTAATAAAATACAATTTGAAAGTGATATCATGTGGTGTTACCTTAGGTTAGTTTTGTACTAGTGTACGGAGGGAGTAGCATCAATTGATGCGAGGGAGCCTCTGTTGAATTATATAGATCAACCACGTGGGTTTTTTTTGTTAATAATGAGGATCATTTTAAGGAAATTTTAGAATTTAACACCTAATAAAAACCCGAAAATGATTTTTAACACCCTCGTAAAAAAAATGATTTTAACACCACCCAAATTTCAAAAAATTGGGTATTACCACCAGTTAACTGATTTCGTTTACAAATCCGTTAAGTAGGGCCATACAGACACATGTCGCTTTATTATTGGCCAAAAAAATAAAAAAAATAGAAAGCCTAAAACTACCCCCAGCCACCCCAGCCCCACCACCACGCTACCACCGTCGTCCCCCAACCCACTCCCTATCGGCGTCCCAGAGAATCGCCCGGCGTCGGCGACCCCAACCCACCCCACTTTCCTCCACCTATGCACCCCAGCCCTTCCCTTTCCACATTTTCGTTTCCCGACCCACCACCCCGAAACCACCCTAAACGCCCCCCTCCCTCGAAAAACGCCCCTCCTCCACTTCTTCCTCCCCCGGAAACGCCCTCCCTTAATCGATTCCCTACCACCCTAAAACGAAACCCTAAAACTCGTTTAGGGTGGTTTTAGGGTTGTTGGTCGGGAAACGAAAATGGGGAAAGGGAAGGGGTGGGTTGTGTAGGTGGAGGAAAGGGGGTGGGGGTGGGGTTGCCGGCGCCGGGCGATTCTCTGGGCTACGGCAGGGGGTGGGTTTGGGGACGGCGGTGGTGGGGCTGGGGTGGCTGGGGGTAGTTTTAGGTTTTTATTTTTTTTATTTTAATTTATTTTTATTTTTTAAAAACAAATAAAATAGTGACGCGTGTCCCTATGGACCACATTTAACAGAATTTTTTAACGGAAACCATTAAGTGGTGGTAATACCAATTTTTTGGAAATTTGTATGGTAACTTTTATATGTGGCTGGCCACACGGTGTGGCCAACCATAATTTTAAAAAAAAAAAAATCAAAATCATGTTATCTCTCCTATTTCACTTTCCTCTTTTCAGCTATTCTTCAATTCATCTTCTTCAATTAATCCCCAATTTCTAGATTTTCTCTTTTTTAGGGTTCCATCTTCTCCAATCTCAATCAAATTTCATGAAGGTCGTGGAGAGTGACATCGGAAGCATGGTGGCGACGGAGAATGTCATCAGATTTTCCAATGTCGGTGATTTTATCGCCGTTGAAGACAACGACATTTTCGAAATCGAAGCTCGGAATCCATGGTTACAATTAGTACGTTGTGAAGACTAGAATTGGTAGAACCTTCTTTTATTTATTTATTTTTTTTGTGAAAATGTAGAACCTGCTAATACAATTACTTCTCTCGCTCCCTCAGTACCAAATTAAGAATAGTTCATCATTTGATTTGCTGCTAATAGAAAGATTTGTGATAAATGATTGTAAATTAAAGTTTGTTAAAACTAGTTATTCACAATTATATTAGTTGTTAACTCCATTGTTGAGTTGAGTGTATTTTTTAGTTTCGTTGGACATTGAAGAGTCAGAGATGGTTGATTGTTGAGGTGGTTGGAATTGGTGGTTTGGTGGCTTCTTTAGTGGTGGAATTGGTGGTTAGGTCAGGAGTTACTTGGTCAGTGAGGGGTTACCAATTCGTTCGGGGGTTACTAGGTCAGGGGTTACTAATTTGGTTTGGGGTTACTTGGTTAAGGGTTACTAGGTTGGAGGGGTTACTTCGTCAGGAGTTACTAGCTAGTTTGGTCAGGGGTTAGTTACTAGGTTGAAGGGGTTAATTCGTCAGGGGTTACTAGGTTAGTTAAGGGTTACTAGGATGGTCAGGGGTTACTAGATTGGAAGGTTACTTGGTCAAGGGTTACTAAGTTCATCAGGGGTTATTTTGGTGAGGGGGTTACTTGTGTGTTAGCTGGCCACATGGTGTGGCCGGCCACACACAAAACTTGACCCTTTTTTTTTAGAGGTGTTAAAAACCATTTTCGGGTTTTTATGAGGTGTTAAAATCTAAAATTTCCTCATTTTAATTATTTTTAAAAGAGTAAACCCATTATGTAAAATTCTATAAAATGCTGTTAACATCCCTAGTTCAAAGCCTTATTGCATGACTTTTTGGTATGGGTCAAATAATTAAATGGAAGATTGGCATAAGATCTCTGTTATGATGTTAATTAAATTTCACATCCGACAGTTTGGCCGAGTGGTCTAAGGCGCCAGATTTAGGCTCTGGTCCGAAAGGGCGTGGGTTCAAATCCCACAGCTGTCAACTTTTTTTCTTATTTATTTTCTTGCCCTTGATCATCACCAATTCTAAATTGAATTTCAACTGTAAATTGGTGTACTGTGCTTCAAAGTTCTCCTAAAATCAAACAAATTGGCAGTATAATCTATAACTATTTTAAAGTCATTATAAAAAAAAAAAAAAAAAAAAAAGCAAAGTCATCAACTGTCCAGCTGACTTAAATAACTATTCCAAATCTGTATAAGTAATAACTAATTATCATCTATTTATGCTACTGTTTTATTCCCTGATCATAATCTAATTAAGAAAAAACATTTTAAACGAATTTTTAATCTATTCACTAATTACTGAGAAGAAGCAACTACTATAGGACTTCTAACATTGTGAATGCCATCTGACCACAACAACTCTCCAAACTTGTAATCTACACTATTATTTATTTCAGAAGTTAAAGTCACTGTAAACTTCTTCTCTTCTCCAACTCTGTCAAACTTTAATACCCTCGGATTCACAGTAACAGCTACTCCTGATGGATGGCGAACGCTTGCTATGTATTCTCCTGGAGATCCAACGTTCTTTAAAGTCCTAGTAACAGTGACGGAGCCAGAAAGTTCAGGGACTGTAATCGAAGGGTAGTTAAAGTTCAAAAGGGTGGTTGTGTTAGAACTTGATTTTGAACATTCAACGGAACCATTGTATAAGGTTTTGATTATAGTGTTGTTGTAGCCTATGGCACATAAGAAGTGCACGTAATCAGTTGTGGTTAAGTCATAGACCAACCCAGGATCCATGGCGCGGTTTGGTCTGACATGTCCTGCTCCGTAAGCAAATGGAGTAGCCTTAGCAAAGTCCCCATCTTCCATCGGTTTGATTGTGTTATCTCGAGTTTTAGCTGTGATTCAATGACAGATCATTACACACTAAAATCGGAATATATGTGTACTATTAAGAAAATTGATTACAAAGATAAATAGGATTATTTACCTGTAGTCATTATAGCAGATCTGATAGCAGCAGGACTCCATGTTGGGTTAAGTGTCTTCAGAAGGCCTACGATACCAGATATATGGGGACAAGACATAGATGTACCAGATTCGACTGCAAAAGAAAGTTTGCGGTGATCATAAGGCTCTGCTGTTGGACTCACCCCTTGACTGTATGCAGCTACAACAGTCACACCTGGTGCTGTGATATCAGGCTGTTTAGAGCACAGAAAAGATTTAGTAAGTAATCCCAAGTATAGGTCTCAATAATGAGGTAAAATTATACATATTTTTTGAATTAGCCAATAAAGAAAAGGATGAAGAATAATGTAACTAAAGCAGACTAAAAGTTGTTAGTACAAACCTTCAAAATCTGTGGGGTAACTGTATTTGGACCGACGGAGGAAAAGGGAGCCATTGAAGGAGCAGGTTTGACATCGAAACTTGCTTTAAAGGCAGTAAAATAACCCAGGGGATTACTGTGAAAAAGATTTTTGATCAAGTCTAAATTCAACACCAAAAAAGCAAGAAACAGAGAAATTATGTACAATTGGTGTACAAAAGATGTTAATACTTACTTTGTGGAATTAATATAGTTGAATATAGCTGATCCATCTTTGTAGTTTACATGTACTGCAGGAAGTACGTAAAGATCCGCAATGGTTTCATTTCCATCTTCTTTGCCATTGCAAAGAATCATGCCAGCAGCGCCAGCGAGTTTTGCTACATTGCCCTTGTCCAATCTAGCAGTGACTCCCCTAAGGCAAGCCACGATCTTTCCTTTCGCCTTTTTCTCATCTAATGTGCCTGGCTTGCAAAGGAGACTACAGGTGCAACATACATATCAGTTACTGATAATTAGCAAAAAGTGTTGTTAAATTGGTATAAAAAGGGAGTTGTCCTTACGCGTCATGAGCAGATGCATTAGCAGCTCTTGCATCAGCAGCAGAGATGAGTGCATATGGTCCAACTCTTGGCAATGCTTGTGATAGACTTGCACCCTACCAATGGCCAAATGAAAAATTATTGATGAGGCCGAAATTATAATAATAAAATTGGAAAAAAAAACCAGTTAGTCCTTTAATAATAATATTGTTGATCGTTTCATACCTTATAAAGATGTCCGTTGCCAAGTTTAACAAAGGAGTCAAACTCACGATCCATAGAACTCGCAGCAACAGTAAAAATCCAAGGAGCAACATTGGTGACAGTACCAGGATCATTCCCAGAATTACCAGCAGAACACACCACAACAACACCATTTTGAATAGCATGAAAGGCTCCAATGGCATTTCCATCCGCGAAGTAGTCAACAGGATTACCTCCAAGAGATAAAGATAGCACATCAACGCCGTCATGAATGGCCCTGTCGAAAGCTGCTATGATATCAGAATCAAAGCATTCATTTCCCTCAATAGGCTCCCAGCAAACCTTGTATGAAGCAACTCGTGCTCTTGGTGAACCGCCTTTTGCAATTCCTAGAAAATTGCCATTTATGGTTGCTGGTACAAAGTTTCCTCCTGCTGTTGAGAGGGTATGCGATCCATGGCCATCGAAATCTCGTGCAGATTCCATAGCTATTGGCACATTTCCACCATTGGATTTGTATCCTTTGTTGAAGTGCCTTGCTCCAATCAACTTCCTACAAATTTTTTTTCATTGTGTAAATATATTAAAGTTTTTAAGTCAAATTTCATGATTTTTTTGTTTAGAAGTTGATAATTTAACCTGTTGCAATGAACTCCATTAGTTTCATTCGAGTAGTGCTCGCAAGAACCTTTCCATCGCGATGGAACAGGTCCATACCCTATGTCGTTAAAGCTCTCGGATTCAGGCCATACACCTAATCACAGTTTATATCAAGCATAAATTAGAATATCATTTTAGAAGATGAATCATATAATAATTTCACCCCTCAAGAATATACTTGTTCATTATTGTAGTCTAACTCATCATATAAAAGTAACTTTTGTTTTAACATACAATTCTTTCACACAATAATTATTTCTAATACCAAACTGTCCACAATTATACAGTGTATTATTTCCAAGATCAAATATTATAAACTTTTTCATTAGTTTGGTAGAAAATGTGCGTGTAGTCATATAAGATCACGTTAGATTTTTATAGTTGTATACATCAAAATATCAAATTTTGTGACATTATCAATTATAATTGACATAAGCTCAAAAGAATACCAGTGTCAAGGTTGCCAATGATAGTATCTTCTCCGAATCTGGCTGTGGCCCATTCTTCACTTGGAATGCCATTGTTTTCGAGCAACAAGAAATCCCAAGAGTGTGTTGTGTGTTTTTTCTTTCCTTTGTTTAGAAACACAGATACCACGTCCGGATGTTCTAAATCACAAAATACAAATTAATTATATGGGCTGGGCAGCCACAATTTAACGCGACCAATAAACTTGATATAGCTATATAGTAACTAAAATCATGTCCTTGTACATCAGAATATACTTATAACTTCAAGTAATCTACTATAAACACAAAAATTCACGTTAAAAAATATAATTGGGGACTAACTTGCTATTTCCTTTGCTTGATGCTCGTCAAGGTTGGCAGCAAAACCATTGATAACCCTTGTATACGAGTCAAATATTGCATCCCTTGCCTTCTCATGACTACATACACAACAAAACCGCAAATTGTACATAGTAATGTTTAAACTCGATGAATCAGAAACATCGAAAATAAAACCCTAATAAGGTTTTGGGAAAAAAACATAAGTCATTAACAATTTGATTATGCATACCTTCCTAGAAAATTTGCAAGGAAACTATGATGATAATCCGTAACTCCATTAAAATCCTCGGTAGTAGCTTCTGGACCATGGGAGTGTGCTCCCATATAAACTACGTACGACTATAAAAGTGACATCATAATATATCAAATTAGCAATGCAAATTAAGTTCAAAATCATTATAGTTAGAAATTAATTAAAATCGTGTCGTTAAGATAACCTGTTTTACTGCTAGTGATGAGGAAACATGGAGGGCTGAAAGCACAAGAAAAACCAAGAAGATCTTCATCTTTAGGTTCATATCAATAGCCAAATAAAATAGTAAAATGCATAACAATGAGTTATTAAATAGAAATTTTTCAGTGAAGTGTTCTAACTAAGATGTGATAAAGTTTCTTCCACAAAACTTTTATATCCCAATCAATTTATTTTACGTTTATATGGCTCAACAATAGATCGATTTTTTAAAAAAACTAAAATATGTACAAAATGTTTTTCTAATCTTATCTAAAATACGTTTTTATCTTGTCAATTTTTATCAATATTATCATGTTAACCTTTTTTTTTTTTTTTTTTTTTGAAGGATGATAACTTATCCCTACATAGGGTACAATTAAAAAAAATCGGTAGTGTTTTTATTTTATAATGATATGAGAAATCTTATAGATTTATAATTTATCGTATTATTTTGTACCCAATAGCCAATGCTATGTTTGTGTTAAAACATTTATCTAAAAGCAAAAGATAATTATAGATGGTGATGATACAATTTTTTAAAAATTATTTATTTAATTGAAAATTTTACGGTAGTTATTTGAAATATGATTACCATAATGTTTTCATGATTATAAAGTTTATAATTGATATATTTTTTCCAATAATTAATTATTTTACTTTATTTTAGGTATAAAAAAGTATTATCAACATTTTTTTGATTTATCAAATTTTTAGTTACATTTATGTAATTTTAATTCTTTTATAGTTTCTCGGAAAATAATTATTATATGTTGGATTAAAATTTTTAAAAAATATGTATGCATAGTAGATATAAAAGACTAATTGTGACCATTTTATAAGGTGAAAAAAAAACAATTATATGGTAGTCATTTTTCAAAGGACTACTATAAAATCATCCTTAGGGCCTGTTCATATTTACTGAACTGAGCTGAACTGAAGTGATTGGAGCTGAACTGAACTGAACGGATTGGAGCTGAACTGAACTAAATTGAACTGAAATGAATATTTTATGAGAGAGAGAAATTAGAAGCTGAACTGAACTAAACTGAACTGATTGGAGCTGAACTGAACTGATTGGAGCTGAACTGAACTGATTGGAGCTGAACTGAACTGATTGGAGCTGAATTGAACTGAATTGAAATTAAGTAAATGTGAACAGGCCCTTAATCATCCTTATTTAATAACTTTTTTTTTAAACCTAATAACTTTAATTCTCTTATCTAATTTGCTGTTTTATTTTGTTTATTTTTTTCCCCTTTTGTAGCTGCTTATGCGATGCCCCTATTTTTTTTAGTTATGGGAATCCAATCGCATACAGGATGACTAACGCATTGAGAAGAACTATTATCGATAGCCTTTATGCTTTATGACTGCTTGTATGATACCTAGATATATACTCCCTCCGGCCCCCATTGATAGTCACTTTTGGTAGAAAATTATAGGAATTAATAAACATAAATAAGAAGTAGCAAAATTACATTGAAAAAGTAAATTTACATTGGGTATAGAAAAAAGTAGAAAGAGAAAGTAATTAAAGTACATGGGAATTTTAAATTTGCACAAATATTTTTACAAATAGGAGAGAATTTTGGTAAAAAAATAATATTAATGGTACTTGAAAAAAACAAATGTGACTAACATTTTGGGTCACAAAAAAAATGGCAAAGGTGACTATCAATAGAGAACAGAGGAGTATTAACTATTAATCAAACAGAAATTTGCTGACATTCCCCTCCCTATACTGAGTGTGGCTTCCACATTAAAAAAAATTCCCATTTTGTTGTATGATGCATCAATTTATTTTTTTTATTTATATTTTTAATTTTTCTAAAAAAAAAAAAACCTACAAGTATTGTATTAGATAATAAATGCATACTTTTCCTCAAAAAAAAAAAAAAAAAAAAAAGAAAAAAAAAGCGTACTATTGTGGTTGGTTGCCTATAAATACACCACTATCAAATTGCATAACATAATTTATACATTCAAAAAATAAGCATTGTTCAAAAAAAAAAAAAAAAAAAAAAGCTACGAATTCCAAAACTACCAATGATGAAAAGTGATTGACTTTTGTCCACAATGTCAAAGTGAATTATAAGTGTAAAAAAAACACTAATTATCCTAAATTTCCTCCTATTTAAGTGTGATGATAAGTGTAAATAAATAAATAAATAAAAAATAAAAAACAATACTTATCCAAGTGATTGACATTTTGTTTTTATATATACTAGGTTAGAACCCGTGCGATGCACAATCATTATAAAACCTATTTTTAATATGTACATTTTAATAATAAATCGCTATTATACATGAAAGAATTACATACATTTTAAATTATGATATAGTATATGTTCTCATAATTCAATGTAGGAGGTCATTTATTAGTGTGCTATTTAAAAATGTTTCAATTTCCTACGATAAATTGATAAATTTTTATTGTAAGCTAAAAATTAAAAATTAAAAAAAAAAAAAATTAGAGTCTCTTTTATACATTGTATAATAATGATCAATTCCAAATAGGGAAAATATGAAGGGAATATAGGTTCTTGGCTTTTGACATCAAATGGAGGCAAATATGTAAAAGAACATTTTTATGAAGGATTTTGACATCAAACGGAGGCAAATATGTAAAAGAACATTTTTAGGAAAATAAATGTCCATGCACTATTTATAAGAATATTGTTAAATTTTTTATAAGGTAGAGATTTAACCTAGAAATCAACTCTACTCTAGTGTAGACTAATCTATTAAGATATAAGTAATCAAATCTAATCTAAGTCCCTCTTCTTTTGAGCTTTTAGGCAGAGCTGAATAAATTTCAGCCGAGCAGAGTCTAGCCGAGCAAAACAGAGCAGATTTCAACATCATTATTATTATTATTATTATTATTATTATTATTATTATTGTTATTATTATCATTATTATTATCATTATTATTATCATCATTATTATTATTATTATTATTATTATTATTACTATTATTATTACTATTACTATTATTATTACTATTATTATTATTATTATTATTACTATTATTATTATTATTATTATTATTATTATTATTATTATTATATCACAAAAACAAAAGTCATACAACCTACAATAAATTAGTAGGAAGCCGAGATACAATCTGGGCCCCCACTCCTCTAGCTATAGCAAAGCCTACCCTAGTGAATATATGAGCTACAGCACGAGCCCCAATGTGTTGCGTCGTCGAGAACCTTTGAATCCACTTCAGCAACGCAACAACCTCCTTCTCTAAATCCCCAAGCGAAGAAAAGGAGAAGGGAATGAATGAAATTAAACCATATCCAATCGCGCAGACAACAAGCTTCATACTTAACCCGCTTCCGATGAGCCGCATCAGCCACAACCCGTCCTGGAACAAAGTCAGATAGCCTTGTCTTTGTCAAAGGAGAAGACCCTGTGAAGTCGACACATAAATCACGACCACGATCCCATGAATAAAGTAACACATCGGCAGGTAAGAGGGCCCCGTCATTCCCTCCAGACAATCCTATGTCAACCTCCTTTCTTGCTGAAATCCCAGATCTGTAGCAAATATCAACAAATGTATACCGAACAACATTGTACCGATATTTAATACCTACAATGCCAGCACACGACACCGCATGGTCGCCGAATACATCCCCAGCAAAAACCAGCAAGCAAGCAGAACACGGTGTCGAGATAAAGAACAATGGAACACCCATCCGATAACACAACACACATCGGTATGTCTTAGCGTTCATCGTCTGACTCAATCCAGAAATAGGGACTGCCCGAAGCCAAGCAGAGGTGTGATCACCCTGCTGCGACTTCCACAATGCCAACTGCCGAGGAGACAAAGAAAAGGTGGATTTTGCAGAAGCGGTAACCTTTGTGAAATATATATCTGCCAATTTCTTCATGAGTTTATGGGCAGCGACATCACCTGCAGAATATATCTTCCAATTATTATTATTATTATTATTATTATCATCATCATCATCATCATCATCATCATCATCATCATTACCATTACCATTACCATTACCATTACCATTACCATTACCATTATTATTATTATTATTATTATTATTACTATTATTATTATTATTATTATTATATATTAATATTATTATTATTATTTATTATTATTATTATTAATACTATTATTATTATTATTATTATTATTATTATTATTATTGTTATTGCTATTGCTATTGTTATTGCTATTGCTATTACTATTACTATTACTATTACTATTATTAATTGCATACCATTGATTTAGGTGAGTGAAAACATAAATATATGTATACCATATTTAACATATGTTAATAGTAGAAACATATGTCAATGAACTAACAATCAATACCCACATACATAAAATGTTTCTACAAATTGTCATTATAATATCAATTGTTTATAAAAGAAATTGTTATTATACTTATTTATTTATTTGAAAAAATTGTTATAATTATTAGAAATTATTAATTAATAATATTATTAAATATGAATTCTTAATAGTTTGAATTATTAAATATTAATAATGATAACTATTATTAATAATTATTATTATGATTAATAAATATTAATTATTATTAATAATTATTAAAATTATTTTTAATATTTTTAATTATTATAATTATATTTAATATTAATAATTATTATAATTATTCAAAATAATAAATTATTATCATCAATACAATATTAATTATTAGTATTATTGAATATTAATTATTATTATTATTAATTATTATTTGAAAATAGAGCAGAGCAGTGCAAATTTCTTTTGAGCAGAGCAGTGCAGAGCAGATTTCTTTTGAGCAGAGCAGATTTGATTTGAGCAGAGCAAAGCAGAGTAGAGCAGCTCTAAAGAACGGGGCCTAATACTACCTCTATTCATGAGACCTTTGCCTTTTGATACTATTCATTGAATTTTTTTACTAGATATATATTGTGTTATATAATTATTACTTCCTCTGTTTCTATTTACTTGAAACACAGTCTTGTGGCACACGCTTTGAGGTTGATATTATATACTCCCTCCGTATTTTTTTAAGTGTTACACTTACCAAATCCGGCCGTGTTTTAATAAGTGTTACACTTCCTATTTTGGCAAAAAGCTATATTAAAATATTATATTTCTCTCCTATTATGGTCCCCACCCAAACTCACTACTACTTTTTTTAATATATATTTCCTCTCACATTCATTAATTTTCAATTAACTATTAACCCCACTATCTTTCTTTTACAATTTTTTAATACTCCAACTATCCCACTTACCTCTTATTTTATTTAAGTCAATTAAATTACCTAAAACAATGTGACGGTCAAACTATAACACTTAAAAAAAATACGGATGGAGTAATGAAAACGGATAAATTACTCAAAATGATTTATTTTTACACATGATAAATCCTTGTGTTAAATTTATTTTGATAAAATCACTCGTTTACCTTAATTAATCATCTCCTAAAACTACGTGTGTTGCAATTAAAAAGAAACGAAGGAAGTACTCCCTCCGTTACATATTACTCGCAAAAATTAATACAAATAGCCGATACACATTACTCGCAAAAAATCCAAATCTTTCATTTTTTTAGTAAATTTTTTTTAAAATGAAATTACAAAAATACCCTTACATAAATTTTTATAACCTCAATTACATACTTTAAACATAATTAATTAAAACTAATTTAGGGTATGTTCTCTTCAGCTTATTTTCAGTTCAGTTCAGTTCCAATAAGTTCAGTTCAATTCAGTTCTTAATTTCCTTCTCACATAAAATATTCAGTTCGGTTCGGTTCAGTTTAGCTCCAATATATTCAGTTCAGTTCAGTTCAGCTTAGTTCAGTTAATCAAAACAGGCCCTTAATCTAATTAAATTCATCTTATCTTTCTAAAATCATCTTCTCCATAATCTTTCTCTCTCTTCCTTTTTCATTTTCTTCCTCATCCCCATATTTTTCTCTCCTCCTCCAACCCCATTATCATAAATTGTTGAAGAAGACCTTCCTTTTGTTGTGGGTTTTCCAAATCTTACGATTTTCATGGGTTTTGGTTTTGGATTCGTGTTTGGGTTTTTGTGGGATCGGGTTTTAGGTTCGTGGGTTATGGATTTTGAGGTTATGGGTTCGAATTCAAGATTCCGGGTTGAGGGTTTTGGGGTTTGTGGGTTCATCGGTTGTGGGTGGTGGTGCTCAAATTCGTGGGATCGATTGTGGGTTGAAGGTTAAGGGTTTTGGGGTTCGTTGTTCGATTCGTCGGTTGAGGGTTATGGGGTTTATGGGTGGTGGGCTTGGTGGCGCTCAAATTCGTGGATTCCTGGATTCGATTGTGGGTTTGATTGTGGTGCTGCTAGGTCGTGGTGGTACGGTATTGGTTGGTATGCTGCTAAGTGGTGGTGGTGGTACGGTGTTGGGTGGCTTTGTTTGATTTGGTTTAATTATTATTTTTTTTGGTTGGATTAGTACTAATTACATGTCCTTATTTTTCAATAATTACACTTTAAGAACTTTTGTCTAAGCTAGGAGCCCGCAATCCACCCCTTTTGTTGCGAGTAATTCGTAACAGAAGGAGTGTAAAACATTATCATGTGGGATCTTGTTATATCTGTCTTAATAATATATTTTAAACTTTTTATAATCACTCACTTATTAATAATTAACTTTTTATAATAATGTAGTTATTAATATTTAGTGATATCAATATTATCTATAATATTAATTCAAGACTCTAATAATAAACGCTTCTTTCGAGTCTCGCTCTAGAGAATAGGGTTCCTATTTTACGGAGGTCAGAGTGGTGGTGCTCTTGCTTGTACAAGTCTGACTCCCCTTGTGCGGGGTGTTTTGGGTCGAGATGGAGGACGAGATGGTGGCGAAGTGGTCGAATTTGAAGATTACGGCGGAAGAAGACGATATTGCTGATTTGGGGGCCTCTAATTCGGAGGCTGATGGAAGCAAGATTGCCCTGTCTCTTGTTGGTAAAATTTTGACGGTGAGATCGTATAATTTTGAAGCCCTTCAGAGGACTTTAAAACAGGTCTGGTCGTTGAAACACTAGTAGAAAAATTGCATTTGGCACCCCCCATATGGCACTGGTTCAACCCAAACCGGTGCCAAAAACCGGCCCAAAATTGGGCGGGATTTTAAACAAAGGGAAAAGGCACCGGTTCAATTCAAACCGGTGCCAAAAATGTAAAAGGCACCGGTTTGAACCGGCGCCAAATGAACCGGTGCCTCATTTGAAAAAAAAAACCGCGTCTTCTTTCTTCCTTATTCTTCCTTCTCTTTCTCTTTCTTTTCATTTTCGCTGTTCAAAATTATCTTCTTCACTGTTCCATTCTCTAAACCCCTCACCTCACCTACGAAACCCCTCACCTCACCGCCGCAACAGTTGCCGGCCACCATCACCGCCGCCACCCCTGGCCTTCTCTTTCTCCCCTGCCGTTCTCTTCTCCCCTGCCATTCTCTTTCTCCCCTCAGCTCAACCCCCTCCACGCCGACGTTACTTGGACCTCCAATGTTTCTGAATTCTTGCTGAAGGTTGCTTGGTAGCTCGGTACCGTTGATGTTAACAATAGTTAAGCCGGTAATTTCTGGATCTGAATCTATGAACATTACAGTCTCGCTTTGAATTGCTAATCCCTGTGCTAATTTTGGTAGTAATTTGTTTGATTATTGATTTTTGTTAGATTTAGGGTTTCAGATTTCAAATCTAGTTGTTATTTCTTTTGAATTGTTGTTATGTGTGCCGTTTTGGTTGTAATTCGTTTGATTATCGGCGTATGTTAAATCGAATTTAGAGTTTAGGGTTTGCTGTTTTTGTGTGAGTTTGAATTTCGTTGTTATTTGCTCAAGTGTTAGGGTTTCAGTTCAATTTGCTCAATATTGAAGCCAAATTTATTCTTATACCAAAGCTTATGGTGGCGGCTAACTGACTATGGTAATTCTTTTTCTTTCCATTTTTTTTGGGATTTTTGTGCTGTTTGGAGAAATTTTATGCTTTGTTGGATTGATGGGCTAATGCAATTTGTAATTGAGAGATTTATTGAGTTTTATGCTGGGATTAGATTGCCTACCAACTGTTTGATGAATTTTTTGAATGAGGATGGTGGAATACTAGTGAATCATACTGCTAGTTGAATGCATGCTATATGAATGCTATTGGAAATACATATATTTTTTTCAACTAAAATTTCTGTATATATCTATTGAGAAATATCAAGATGACTTAATGAATACTGCATATTTTGAGAAAAGTAAGCTAGAGGGTACCCTGCCTTGTTCAAGTTTTTCCCCTATATTTGCTGCCCCAATCAGTTCAGTTGTTTTCAGTAAATCGGAATAGACCCTTGGTAGTTTTTTTTTTGGGTGATATTGAGCTGATAATGATTCTGTTTTTGTACAATGCTAAAATCTCCCAAGGGCTTCTGTGTTTGATATGTGTATGGTAGTGTGGATTTGGCATTGATGAGATGAGATTGTATGAATGTCATAGAGAGTCTTGTAGAGTAGTGATGTAGAAGAGATTGAATACCAGCATTGAATATTAAGTTGATCAAACTTGTTCTATGGTAGTAAATATTTGCTCATTTCCTTTGCATGTTTCACTGATGTGATTTGTTTGTCATATGCTAGTGCGCACAACAAGAGAATGGACTTGATTGTGCTTTGTATGTGATGAGATTCATGCTTGACATTGTGACTCATTGTACGGACACTCAACAGCTTGATGAGGTAAGTCCTAAAACTTCTTGAAATGCTATATTGATGTGATTTCACACCTTAGACACTTAATATTACCCAACAATGGCATGTTATGAGAAACAAAAAAGCTATTTCACAAGAAAGGTAGAAAATGGGCTGAATAGAAGTCACATGGGCCATGTTAGGGCCATTTTGTGTTAATATGCTCTTTTGATGTGATTTCTTTCCTTATACACATATAATTAGATAATATTGACATGTTATGAGATAAATAAAGTTCATTTAATAAGAAATATAGGAAATGGGCAAAGTAAGGTCATATAGGCCATATTCGGGCCATTTTGAGTAAAAAGCGTCGTAAACCTTAATAAAATGCTCTCCTATACAATTTTAGGGCTTACACACATACAACTACCCAACATTGACATGTTATGAGAAAGAAATAGTTCATTTGATAAGTAATGTAGAAAATGGGCTACTTAGAAGTCATATAAGCCCTATTTGGGCCATGTTGAGTAAAATGCGTTGTTAAACTTCTTGAAATGCTATATTGATGTGATTTCTAGCCTTAGACACCTAATATTATCCAACAATGACATGTTATGAGAAACAAAAAGGCTATTTCACAAGAAAGGTAGAAAATGGGTTGAATAGAAGTCATATGGGCCATATTAGGGCCATTTTGTGTTAATATGCTCTTTTAATGTGATTTCTTTCCTTATACACATATAAGTAGATAATATTGACATGTTATGAGATAAATAAAGTTCATTTAATAAAAAATGTAGGAAATGGGCAAAGTAAGGTCATATAGGCCATATTCAGGCCATTTTGGGTAAAAACCGTCATAAACCTTAATAAAATGCTCTCCTATACAATTTTAGGGCTTACACACATACAACTATCCAATATTGAAATGTTATGAGAAAGAAATAGTTCATTTGATAAGTAATGTAGTAAATGGGCTATATAGAAGTCGTATAGGTAATATTTGATAAAATACATATTTTTTGCCTAATTAATTATTTTTAAAATAATGTTTTTGTATTTCAAGTTTTGCAAGGTCCAAAAGGATGGTCCTTTGACAATCAAGGAGCTTAATGAAGTTCGTGACATGTTGGCGACTTTCATCACCTTCAACATGTAAATGGCATGCATTGTAATTGTAAATTATTTATGTTAACTTTTGAACTATATATAACTTATTATTCATTATATATGTGTACTTACTATTATTTGTATATGTAAGCAACTTTTATTTTTTTGTATTGCGTTTGGGAATATTTATATCTATATATATATATAATTGAATTCTTGTATCTAATATTATTTTTGTATATAATAATTAATAATATATTATTAGTTATTATAATAATAAAATTATAAATTATTATATTTAATATAATTGCTGGAATTACAGGGTATTATTATTGCAGGTTTTTTTTTAAAAATATTATTGCACGATTGAAAAAAAAAACGAAAAAAAAAATTATACAAAAGGCACCGGTTAGGCAGGAACCGGTGCCTAAACTATCCACCACCCAAAAAAAAAATGGCGGGAGAGCAGTATTAGGCACCGGTTAACCGGTGCCTATTCTACCCTATGGCACCGGTTAACCGGTGCCTATTAAACCCTATGGCACCGGTTTTGAACCGGTGCCAAATAGGGGGTTTTTGGCACCCCTCAAATAGGCAGCGGTTCAAACCGGTGCCTTAGACCGGGTTTGAACCGCTGCCTAATGCATTTTTTCTACTAGTGAAACGCAATGTTGTTTTTCGGAAAATCGAAAATAATTTATTTATAATCCAATTATTCCATTAGCGTGACAAGGAGTAGGTTCTTGATGGTGCGCCTTGGAATTTCGATAACCAATTGCTGCTATTGGGAGATATTAATGGGGATGAACAACCAGAATCAATCGAACTTAAATACTTCCCTTTTTGGGTGCGACTCTATAATTTACCCTTGGACAGCCGGTCAAACTCGGATGTCAAAATCATAGCTGAGAAGGTGGGGGTGGTTTTAGAGGTTGAAGATGATGAATTGGGTTGGGATAAGTCAAGAAGGGTTAGGATTATGGTGGACACTTCAAAGCCGCTGAGGCGGGTTCAAAAGATCAGGAACAAGAAGGGGGAGATTTCAAGCATCCAATTTAAGTACGAGCGTCTGTCAACGTTTTGCTTTTTGTGTGGAATTTTGGGACATACGGAGAAAGATTGTCCTAATATTGCTGAAGAGGATGAACCAGATGAGAAGCAATGGGGACTTTGGCTGAGAGCCTCACCGCGCAAGGGGAGAGGAAAGTTTAAGAAGGAGATAGATAGTATACATTCAGCACCTCAACGTAAACTTGTGTTCACGCATAAACCTATTGCTTTGCAATCGCAAGCCACTGTGTTGAGTAACCAAAAGACAGACAAAGAGGTTGAGTTGGGTGAGGTGAATAAAATTGTAGACTACGCTTCTGAGTGGCTGAAAGGAGCTATCTGCTCAAGGGTTGGAGGATGTGAGTGTTGAGAATGATGGGTCTTGTGGTAGTGAGGGGGAGGGAGTTGAGGCAGCAGGGGGTAAGGAGATGGCCTGGGTATGGGGGTGATGAATTTGGCTTTTGTGGCAGGGGAGGGGGGAGGAAAGAAAGCTGGGAAGTGGGGGGGGGGGAAAGAAATTTAAGAGAGGGATAAAATACAAAAGGGGTACGGGGGTTTGTAAGATGGACTTTGAAGGAGATGCTTTATTAGGGAAAAGGAGCAGGGAGGGCAGTGAGGGATTGCTAGAATTGGAGAATGTGGCCAAAAAGCCTATGACTGATGGAAATTCTAATGGATTGCGGTCGGCGGAGGTAGCATTCGAGCTACCCCGCCAAGCTCAATGAGTATTCTGAGCATTAACTGCAGGGGGCTGGGCAATACTCCTGCAGTTAATAATCTCCGAAACTTAGTACGGAGAGAGGCCCCGTCTTTCATTTTTATAATGGAGACGAAGTTGAGTAGTAGGGAGATGAATAAAATTCGTGCGAAGTTGTTGGGTTATGATGGTCTTGTGGTAGATAGTCGGGGGAGGTCCAGGGGAGTAGCTTTGTTTTGGTTGAAAGGCATCGATGTAGAGTTGAGGTCTATGTCAATTCATCATATTGATGTAGTAGTGGTGAAGGGTGTGGGAAGTATCAAATGGAGGCTAACTGGTTTCTATGGGTGGCCGGAGGTTCAAAACCGATATCTCTCATGGAAGCTTCTGGGTGAACTAGCGACGGGGTGTGACATGGCTTGGGTGTGCATTGGGGATTATAATGAAATTTTGTCTGACTCGGAGAAGAAAGGGGGTAGAAATCGTGCTAATTGGCAAATGGAGAATTTCAAAGAAGCGATTGATGTGTGTTTGTTACGTGATGTTCCTTTCTCGGGGTACGCTTTTACTTATGATAATGGACAAAGCGGTGATGATAATACCCAATGTAGACTCGATAGAGCCCTTGCTAATAATGACTGGTTCGATGCTTTCGAGAGAGCAAAATTGTTTAATTTGGAGCGTGGATGGTCAGACCACGCTCCAATTAAACTATTATTGGATGAGCAGGTTGGAATGAATGGCAAAGAAAGTGAGAAAATATTCAGATTTGAGCAGCTCTGGACAGAGCACGAGAAATGTGAAGATGTGGTCAGGGACGCCTGACAGCTAGGGGGTCCTTCTGTCGAGTTAAAGCTTGAGAAGTGTGCTTCGGAGTTGCAAATGTGGAGCAGCAGAGAGTATGGGCAAGTTTTCAGGGAGATTAGGAAGAAAAGGAAGAGATTGGGGGTCTTGAATAAGGGGGGCCGTGCTGAGGCGCAAGTGAATGAGAGGAAGAAGGTGGTTCGAGAAATTAATGCCTTACTTCATCTAGAGGAAATATATTGGAGACAAAGGTCGAGGGCCTTGTGGTTGGAGTCAGGGGATCGTAACACTAATTTCTTTCACAGGAAAGCCTCGCAACGTCGTAGCAAAAATCGCATTTCCCACCTTGTGACTGACGATGGGGTGACACATGTAGAGAAGGAGCAGATTTGTTTCGTGGCTAATGATTATTGTAAGACATTATTTACCTCTTCGTTGCCATCACAGTTTGATGAGGCCTTGGCTGGTATCGATACAAGGGTCACAAGTGAGATGAATTCGAGGCTTTGTGCTCCTTATACGGCAGATGAAGTGTTCCTTGCCCTTAAACAGATGCACCCTTTGAAAGATCCGGGCCGGATGGTTCTGTCCTCTTTTTTTCCAGACTTATTGGCATATTGTAGGGCCTTCTGTTACTGCTTTAGTCATTAGTGTTCTTAATGGAGCTGTTATTCCGGAAAAAAATTAATAGTACTTTTATTGTGCTTATTCCGAAGAAGAAAGATCTGGATAAAATGACTGAATACAGACCGATTAGTTTATATAATGTAATTTATAAATTGATCACGAAGGTTTTGGCTAATCGGTTGAAAATTTTTCTCTTTGATATTACTTCTGTTAATCAGAGTGCTTTCACCCCGGGAAGATTAATCACTGATAATATTTTGGTTGCCTTTGAGTTGTTCTATCATATGAAAAATTCAGGGAGTGAGAGTGGTTTTCTGGCTCTGAAATTGGACATGGCTAAGGCGTATGATAGAGTGGAGTGGAGTTTTTTGAGAGCTGTGATGATTAAGTTTGGATTTGCAGAGCAATGGGTGGATCGGGTCATACATTGTATCTCTACTGTCTCTTTTTCAGTTCTCATAAATGGGGCACCTTCGGGGGAGTTTACTCCATCTCGGGGTTTACGTCAAGGTGATCCTCTATCCCCCTACTTGTTCATCCTTTGTGCAGAAGCCTTATCGGGGCTCCTTAATAGAGCAGTGGCATTGGGACATTTACATGGTATACGCGTGGCTCCGTTGGCACCAACCATCTCACATTTGTTTTTTGCGGATGATAGTATTATTTTCGCAAAGGCAAATTTGAACGAAGTTGATACCATTCGAGAGGTTCTTCATACTTATGAGATAGCTTCGGGGCAGATGGTAAATTTTGGGAAGACGACGGTGACTTTTAGTAAAGGGGTTCCGGTTGATAGAAGGGAGGATTTGGCTAATGCTCTTCGGGTGAACATTGTGGATGTGCATGACAAGTACCTTGGTCTTCCCACGGTGGTGGGGAGGTCAAAAAGGGTGATTACGAAAGATATCCGGGAGAAGTTATGGAAGAGACTTCAAGGGTGGAAAGGGGGATATATGTGTAAGGCGGGTCGGAAAGTTTTGATTAAGGCCGTGGCCCAATCGATTCCAACCTACGCGATGAGTGTGTTCAAATTTCCCTCTTCTTTTTGTGACGAATTGCGTTCGATGGTGGCTAATTTTTGGTGGAGACAGAAAAATGGGGAACGTAAAATCCATTGGGTGGCTTGGAAGAAGCTATGCGAACCGAAAGCTAGTGGAGGGTTGGGTTTCAGGGATTTTAAAGCGTTTAATGCGGCTCTCCTTGGCAAGCAAGCATGGAGGTTGATTCAATTCCCAGATAGTTTGGTGGCTCGGGTTCTTAAAGCTCGCTATTTCGCTGAAAGGTCTTATTTGGACGCGGAACTTGGTAATATGCCAAGTTACACATGGCGAGGTATTTGGAGCGTTAGGTGGGTGGTGCAAAGAGGGTTGAGGTGGAGAGTGGGGGATGGGTGTAGTATTCCAGTTTGGAAGTGTGAGTGGATTCCTGGAACACAATCTCGAAGGGTTATAACCCCGAGAGGAAGTCAGTCACTGAACCTTAAAGTTTGTGACTTGATACACCTTCCCACGGCTTCATGGAATGTGCCTAAGGTGAAAGAGATTTTTCTACCTTTTGAGCAAGAATGCATTCTGAGTATTCCTCTGAGTGTGCGTGTATTAGATGATACTATCTGCTGGGATTTGGAGAAAGGAGGGGACTATAAGGTTCGATCTGCTTACCGAGCTATTTTTGGGGATTATGAGGCTGATTTCAGGTCGTCGGGTTCGAGCTCTTTGAAGTTTTGGGGGAAGATGTGGGCTGCTGTCACATTACCAAGGGTGAAGGTGTTCTTTTGGAGGGCATGTAGAGGGGCACTGCCGACATTAGTGGGTTTAAATAAGAGAATTCCAGGGAAAAATACCACGTGCTCGGTGTGTGGGTTGAAGACGAGACAGAGCTACATTGCTTAAGGGATTGTATCATAGCTCGTCTCTTATGGGATGAGTGTGAGCTGGGATGTGCAATGACTGGATGCTTTCAATCATTTGGTGAGTTAGCTACTGCTTGCTTTGAAAGGCTGCCTGCAGAAGAACATGGGATGTTTATGACAGTCTGTTGGGAGATTTGGAGTGCGAGAAATAAGTGGATTTTTGAAGGGGTGCATTGTGATCCAAGGCGTTCCATGGAATATGTTACTAAAATTATTAGTGAGCTGAAGGGGGGTGATGAGAAGGGGGTGCGTGCGGCTGTTGGAAGAGGGAGGCAGAGGTGGACGCCCCCTCCTGCGGGATGGGTGAAGCTCAATGTCGATGGAGGGTCATGTGAGGGTCTTGGGTCAAGTGCAGGTGCTGTGATTCGTGATGAGAAGGGGGGAGCCTTGTTTGCTGCTGCGTGGAGCTTTGAGGACTTGTGGGATCCCCGGATTGCTGAGGCAAAAGCTTTACTTCTTGGATTTAAAGCTGCAGTCGAGGATGGCTGGAGGAGAGTAGTGGTGGAGAGTGATTGTCAAGGGTTGATCAACGCAATGAAGTCGCGGGAGGTTGGTAGAAGTTGTTTTCATATGATCTTGGATGACATTCGTCATTTTTGTAGTCTGCTAGGTAGTGTTGCTTGGAGTTTTGTTCGAAGGGAAGGGAATAGAGTAGCCCATGTGCTTGCTCATAGCATGCCGTGGGAAGTAGGAAGTTGGGTTTGGGTTGGTGATTTTCCTTCTGTTGTTAGCTCTGCTCTTGCAGGTGATTTATCTATGAATGAAAGTTAAGGGCTCCTCTTGGAGCTTTTCCTCAAAAAAAAAAATATTATCTATAATATTATTAAAACTCATGGGAACAATATAATAATGACATATGTCACCCTTACTTGTGATGAGTTGGTACCACATTTGTGTCATGTGTCATCCTATGTGTGTTTACCATTCTCTCTCCCACATTGAATAATTGTAGTAATGTAGTCACTTTGGAAAACTCTTCATCGTGTCCAAAAAAAAAAAAAAAAAAAAAAAACTCTTCATTGGCTTGATTTTAATTCTCTATAATAATGTTTGATTTACTTGAAAAACTCTTCATTCATTGGTGTGACTTTAATTCTCTATAATAATGTCTAATTTACTTAAAAACTTTTCATATGTATAACCTCTATATTTAAATGAGATATATCTTATACAAGTATATATAAATGAAATATAATATAGATTACTATATTCATGCACTTATTAACATTATATTGTTTAAATATTAACTCTTTTTAATTAATTTTTATCAAACTTATAAAAAATGATGTGTCGAGGCATCGCCTGAGCCAACAACTAGTTATTATTATTAAAACTTTTCATATTAACTCTTTTTCTTATTTAGTCACGTCATCAAATTGCCAGTTTACCACATACATAAGCGATCACATTGCTATATATATATATATATATATAAAGGAGAGTTTTTTCCAGAATTTTTAGAGAGTCACGTAGGATTTAATTTTTTCAACACGCCATGTAGGAAAATAAATTTTAGTGGTAACCAATTAAACCCAAACCCAACTTCCTACTTCCCATAAGTAAATAATTAAAATGACACGTAAGCAAAATTGGCGAATAAGATTTTCCAGTTTAATTTTTCTCTCCAAAATGCAAGGATGATGTTATATTTCTTTTTCCTTTTTAAGGTAACCTATTTAACATAGCTTTGAAAATATATTCCATTTGAATTTTCAAATTTTAAATTTCGGATTATCTACACATGCTATTTAGTTATTTACGAGTTTTTAACAATAATTACTAATATAATTTAATTGAAATTTCTTAATTAAAATATGAAAATTATGCACTTTCAGGAATTGCATATTCATATTTAATTAGAAATTAGTTAGGAAAAATGATGAAGTTATTTTCTTTCAATACATGTTAAAAAGTCTATAATTCAATTCTTATTTTAAAACCGTGCATCACGTTAATCTAGTTAAATTATCAATCATTGTACCCGTGCATTGGAAAACATGAAAGGGGTCAGATTTAAAAAAAAAAGAAGGAAGTATGTGAATGGTGTTACATCAAAGCGTGTGATAGTATTGTAAAACGAGCAAACCTTACTCTATGTAGTTGTTAAACAAGAAACGTTTATCAATTGACTATTTTGTAAATAAAGCAATAAAAAATCCCAATCACTCAACGTTTTCAAAATTAAATTAACAATTATATGTACAACATACCACATTTAATGAAAATTAGTTGATTTATTTACAAATTGTCCCTTGATCTCTTAAAAAGCCCCGTATGATTAAAATAAATAAATCATGTTTCTTCTGTTGACCACCTTTGGGCAAAATTAAGTGACTCATGCATTAAATCCGAAAATTAAATTTAGTACACCTTTAATTGATTTTTGCACACTCCTTTATAAGAAGAGCATAAAATTAATTTTGGTGTGCCAAAATCATTTTCCATTAAACCCTACCTCAAAGTTGATGGAAGCAAGCTTTTCTATTAGACCAAGTTTAGTTGGTTAGGAAGTACAAAGTGTTTGGTACTTGTAAAAGAAAGTACATACATAAATGAGAATAAATTCTGACCGTTTGATATTATTAAGATGCGCCACTTAACATCATACACCTGTTATTAATATTATTCTTATTTACTTTTTTTTTTTAATTTCTTTTGATCCTTTGGAGGTTTTTAACGTTTAACCCTCTCTCTCTCTCTCTCCAGAATCTCCACACGCCATTGATACTGCATACTCTGAAATTTCCATTGAAACAGCATCTGAGCTTTCTCTCCTCCATTGAAGCAGCTTCTGAGGTAAAATGTTTTAGTTTTCTTCTTTTCTTTTTTTTTTTTTAATCATCGAATATAAATGTCACACTTTAGTGTAAATCATTAATTTAATTGTCAGTATATTCAATTTAGGGTTGTTCTTTGTTGAATTTTAAATTGTTTGTTATAATTACTGAATTCATTACAATGAAAAGTTTGTTGATTTTCTTTATCAAGAAGAATTTCATGTTATTTTTGGGGCCTAATTTGATAATTGAGTCAAATTTGGTTGTGATTTTAATTATGTAATGCATGCTTTTGTTTACATTGTATAAGCCTTTAATGTTAGGAGGGAACTATGAAAATGGACCTTTTATCCCCTCTTGCCATGGCTCAGGGACGGGCCTGTTAGAAGTTATGTAATTGAGGAAGTGTTGCATTTGCTGAAATGTTTTAGGTAATTGGTTTTGATGAGTCAGATGCGGTTCGTATTAATACTCGAATTAATATGAGCAAGTTCATAGACATTTCTTCTCTGTTTGTTGTAAGGGGATCAATTCATTGGTGTAAGTAGAATTGATCTCCTTGCCAAGATTATGGTATTTTGAAGATTTTGTTGCCTGTGTTGTGGAATGAGATTGTCACAGCATCTAGCATTAGCGTTGGCAATCGGCTTGAAACGTTTCTGTTTTGATACCCATCCACAATGTTAAGTCCTAGCTATTGACAGTCATCAAACTTGTCAATTATTTAAAAATGTTGGAGTTGATGCATCAGAATTTGCAAGGTTTTTGTAATTTGAAGGGTGATGCTCAATTGCCCATGTACATTTTAAGTGTCTGCATTTATGTTCGACATGGATGATGTCCAGATGCCATGGGCTGTGATTCAATCTGCCTACCTATCTGTCTCTGTCTCTTTCTCTCTCTGTAACAAGTCCAGATGCCATTGCTGGCAGGAGAACATGTGCACTCGTCACAAAAATCAAAGTGTTTGTACTTGTACTGGTGTTTTCTTGAGTACTTATGGGTGTTTCAATAATTTTTGTGTAGGGGTTGCATCATCTCCAAAGTCATTGTGCAATTTCTATAATATTGTTGGGCATTGCATCTGATGGATATCCTAGATGGTCATCATATAGGACTTGATGAAAGTGATACAAAAGTGAAATGCAATGAGTCTGCTGGTGCTGGAACCACAAAAAGAAAGGAGTTGCACGGGACAGTTCATGTTAATGCCTTATCTGGTACTTGGAGAGATAACCCTCATGGAGCTGTATTCCATGCTTACAAGATTGATTTCTCTTGTGATTGTGAGTTGTACCCTGGTTTTGTACTCTTGACGGAGTTGAAGCTAGATGAGGATGTAGCTAATACTAAAGTTGACTTGTATCTACTTGACAAGATGGTCAAATCATCGGTTATGCCATGTGGTGAAGTGCATTTGGGGTCGGACCAAATAAGGCGAGCAATGCACTTTCATGAACTTCTCTTTAATGGGTTATATGGAAAATTGTTTCTAGGATCAAAAGCAAGTGGGGTCAATAGAGAGTTTCTTCTTCAGAGAGACACTGGTCTTCTGTGGAGTACTTCATACATTTATTTGATCTTACCAATTGAGTCGTTAGACTATGTAGATCATGATTCATGGAGAATTGACTGGAAGGGCATTGATTCCTGTGTCTCTGTGGTAGAATTTATGAGGAATTCTGCTTGGTTGAGTGCTGAACAATCTGGGGCCCAATATAGGAGCTCGATTGGTGACCCCTCTTCAGCAGGTAACGCTGGTGAGAATACTATACATTTGGCTAACCGTTCATTGTCTATAGAGAACTTGGAAGAAACTGTCGTTATGTCCATCCACACTGGAAGGATATACTATGTTCGAGAAGTCTTGGTCAATACCTCTGCTGAGAGCCCTTTTGATTCTAATGTTGATGGGGCACCATCAAAGTATACTAGTTTTGCTGATTACTTCAACAAGAAGTACGGAATTGTGCTGTTCTATCCAGGACAGCCATTGTTACTGTTGAAGCAGACTCATAATCCATTTAATCTTCTCTCAGATAGTGAGGCTAGTGCATTGCGTCGAAAGTTGCTGTCAAGTGGTGATCTGGTTGACTCAAAGCGACAGAATCATGTTCACATGCCACCTGAGCTTTTAGTCTGTATTGATATCCAACTATCAACTCTAAGGGCGTTGTATTTAATACCTTCTTTGATTCACAGGCTGGAGTCTCTGATGTTAGCCTGTCAGCTAAGGAAAGAGATTGCCTGTAACTTTCATATGCCAAGCTCACTGATTTTGGAAGCACTTACAACTCTCAGATGCTGTGAAGATTTTTCTTCAGAGCGTTTAGAGTTGCTTGGTGATTCAGTGCTAAAGTATGTTGTGAGCTGCCATGTTTTTCTTAAAAGTCCCCATGAACATGAAGGAAAGTTATCTGGCCAGCGCCAAAGTACTATTTGCAATGCTAACTTACATAAATTGGGAACTAAGCGCAAGCTGCACGAATACATTCGTGATAGTGCATTTGAGCCTCGTCGATGGGTTGCTCCTGGGCAGCTTTCAGTTCATCCGGTTCCTTGTTCACATGGTGTTGACACATCTGAAGTGCCTTTAGATAAGAGATTTCATACTATTGACGAAAATACCGTACTTGGAAAGAGCTGTGACAAGGGACATCGGTGGTTGGTTTCCAAAAGCATAGCTGATTGTGTTGAGGCAGTTATTGGAGCATACTATGTTGGTGGTGGATTAATGGCTGCTCTCCATATGATGAAATGGCTAGGAATTGAAGCTGAACTGGGGCCTGGTTATGTTGACAAAGCTATTAATCTGGCATCTGACCGATCTTGCATCCAAAAAGTTGATCAGATTACAGCCTTGGAATCCAAACTCGGGTATGACTTTTCTACCAAAGGACTGCTACTTGAAGCTATTACTCATTTAACAGAGCAAGAATCTGGGGTGGGCTACTGTTATGAGAGGCTGGAGTTTCTGGGAGACGCTGTGCTGGATGTGCTGATAACATGGCATCTTTATCAGAACCACACGGATATTGATCCAGGAGAATTAACTGACCTACGTTCAGCTTCTGTGAACAACGAAAATTTTGCCCAAGTCTCTGTCAGGCGAAACCTGTATCAGCATCTTCAGCTTTCTTCCGAGTCAATCTCAAAACAGATAACAGAGTACGTTACACTGGTTATGGATGCAGAAGATTCTAAGTCGCTGCAAGGAAGGCAGTGCCCCAAGGTTCTTGGTGACCTTCTGGAGAGTATTGCCGGGGCAATACTAATTGATACCAAGCTTAATGTCGAAGAAGTGTGGAGAATATTTTTCCCTTTATTGTCTCCTATTGTAACACCTGATAATCTTGAGTTACCTCCCTTCCGTGAATTGAATGAATTGTGTGATCGCCTTGGATACTTTTTCAAAGAACATTGTATCAATGACAAAGATGTGGTGCTTGCAGAATTGAGACTACAACTGGAAGACATTTTATTGATAGGAGAAGGAATTGGTAAAACTAAAAAAGCTGCCAAGGGACAAGCTGCTCTTTATTTGTTGAAAGGACTGGATAACAAAGGAATGTCATATGATAAATGTGTTTTGAAGAGGAAAAAACAGGAATTGAATGATGTCAGTTCAGGCCTGATCGATATGAAATTCAGTGTCATGAAAAGCAAACATACATCTCAGAAGAAGCAAAAGGTCTCTCTGCTGCCTTGTGGAGATAATGAAGCTCCAGATGCTGCTATTCCAGTTATTGCAGCTGTTAAAACAGATAAAGGGGGGCCAAGAAACTCATTGTATGAATTGTGTAAAAGATTGCAGTGGCCTATGCCTAGCTTTGAAACTAATGAAGAAAAGTCAAGATCACCTATTGAATTCGGCGAAGGCTCAGATAAAAGGACCGGCTTCAATGGTTTTACATCGAAAATCTCTTTGCTCATACCTGACTATGGTGTCATGGAGGCCATGGGGGAGCAAAGAGCTGATAAGAAAAGTTCTCAAGACTCGGCAGCACTGCACTTGCTTTATGAGTTGGAACAGCAGGGAAAACTAGTTATCAATTGCTAATAAGTAGGTGGAACATTAGGGTAGACTTAATGAACTGAAATGACAAGCTTTGATGGATGCTAGTGATAAGGATTCAAACTCTTGATTCCTTCTGCCTTTAGGCTTAGATGGTGTAGGACAAGCTATGTAATGGAGTCCTGAATAACTAAGAAGGATAGATTACCCTGTTGTTTAGTCTTAACGAATTTGAATTTAAGATTATGGCCCTTGTACATAATGGTGTAACATTACTGTAACTGTGAACACCGTATTGTTGTTCTGTCTTGCCTGTTGCTTGATCATCGTCATTAGGACATTTAATAAACATCTTGTCTGTAGATGTAACCTTTATTCTTCCAGTGTATTTTCCCTTTATTAACCTCTCTAATCTCCCTTTTAACGTTGAAGAATATGATTGCAGCAGGTTGTCATGGGTGTCACTCTTGATTTACAGGCTTTTATTCTTCGTGCTAGAGTACTGAAGCTGTATAGAGAAGCACTGAGAACGGCTAGGCGAGCCCCATCTCAATCCAGAGGTCCCCCCCCCCCCTCTCTCTCATATATTTTCTGCTGCTATTGTTTTATCAGTTGCGAGAGCTATTGCGAATTCCTTCATTAGTTATTGCAGTTGGTTGTTATATATCACCTTGGTTGCCTAAAGCAGGCAAAATAATCCATTCTGGGTACTTCATGATCCTCATCTTTGGGTAAATTTACTTTGGATACCAGAGAATTAATTTATTGTTTCACTTTGGCTCATCACCTAGCCTTGTCGATTTTCCAATCTTTCCATTATTAATCACTGGTCATGATAGTTGTAGTAATACATTTGCAGCTTTGTGTGTTATGGATTCATAATGTACGTTTTTTTCTATGATCTTCAGTGGATCATGCCACTTAACAAGTAATCTTGTGCCGATTCTGGTGAAAGTTCTGAAAGAGATTATGGTTGTCCTTGCAATTGCAGTTGAATTGCAGCAAACAATAAGGCAAGAGATAGAGAAGAACCGGGATTGTCAAGACAAGCAGAAGATTCGTTTCCTGCTAAATGAAGGGAAGGAGAGAGTGAAACGCTTAGATGAGATGCTCGATATGCAAGGTTGCTGAGAATGCTGACCATTCATTGCTTTGGGGGAAATGTTCTGTTACAAGAGGATATATTTAAATCACAAAGCTCGTTGGCTTGCTAGCTACCTGATGTACTCCCTCACTGTGGTGGTTCAGCCATGATGTGTTGACTGCTGTAATCTTTTTCTAAATGAGGATATGTATGTGGAATACGTCGTAAGAATTTCTTCTGTAACATTATGCTGCCAGTCTTGAGATGTGAGAATTTCTTCTGTAACATTATGCTGCCAGTCTTGAGATCTAATGAGTTCTAAGTCCTGCGCTTTGGTTTTCAATTTAATTTTAAAAAGGCAGGCGCGTTTTATGAATAAATAAAAGAGTCTAAGCAATTTCATCACTTTCGTGTACCCATTGGACAGCAGCAGACTAATCCAACTAAACATTTTTAAAGAAGGCAAATATAATACCCTATGCATTCATTTGTATTTCACTTATTAGCCCTTATTTTTAAGATTTAACCCTAACCTTATTGGACAATAAAGTAAAAAAGAAGATAATATATTACTCTAGACATGGTTCCAATTTCCAAATACGGAGTATACATTTGAAAAGGAAAATTCAGATTATTGCAAGGAACTATGGAAGTGAGATTGACTTGGAAAAACAAGTGCTTTTATGCTACGATAATGCATTGTAAAACATATAAATTGACTAGGAAAAGATGTGAAACTTCATGCCATTCCAATTGCATGACTTATCAAAAACAGCAAAGTGTATATTATGAGAATAGAAAACAGTAATCATGTATGTACACTAGATTGGGTTGCAAACAGAGAAATTGAACAAGCCAACACAAAAACTGTCCAGGCTCTGCCTCAAGAGAATGGCAATAAGTGAGATTGAACACGCCAACACAATAATAGTCGTCCAGGCTCTGCCTCTTGAGCTTGACAAGAAGTTCAACAAAAGCATTAAAGGAGTTGCTTTGCAGTGTTTTAGTGTAAACTAATTTGTAAGGACCTTGCCCGTCATTAGCATCAAAATACGAGAATAGAAGAGTGCACTGTATATATCACTGAATCAAGGGACAAATCATGGAATACATTTCCACAAAATTTTCTTCTTCCCTTCCTATTAAGTTTAACAACCGAGGTCAATTAATGTGCAGCACAGAAAATCCAGCTCAAACTGGTAGCACTCGTATACTGTGTCTTCAAATAGGCCGAGTAGCATATCCCCTGTCAACCATCTTTTCCACCAATTCTTCATGCAACTGAAGCTGCTCCGCTTTTCTCAATAGATTCAAAACCATGTTGTATAGATGCAAGCTTGGCACCAAACTCTTCACTTCAATCATCTCTCTAAAATACTTGTAAGCTTTGGACCAGTGCCCCATTGCACAAAACATCGAGATCAATGTCTTATAAGTATTCACATTAGGCTCTACGCCATTCTCATCCATCTCCTCCTTCAGCTTTAGAACCATATCAGTCGACTTGGATTCCACAAACATCTTCATCAGCACATTGTATGTCACTGTATTAGGCTGACACTTCAATTCTTTCATCTTTGCAAACAAACGATGAGCAGAATTCACATCCTTAGCCTTAGCTATACAGATGAATATTGGGTTAAAACTATGCGCATTAGGAACACATCCTTTGATCGCCATTTGGCGAATCAACTTAGTAGCTTCATCCCGATTGTCATTCCTACAATGGGAGTCAATCAGAAAGTTATAGGTGATCACATCAGGCTCACACCCAAGCCTTTTCATCTGATTAAAAGCCTGCAAGACCTTCTCAGTCTTCCCCACTTTAGCATGCACCCTCATCAAATTATTGAAGGTCACAACATTTGGCTGACAACCCTTGTCAATCATCTCCGAAAAAACATCATGGGCACGAGTAATTTGCCCGTGCCTGCACAAAGCATCGATAACAATCGTATAAGTATACACATTAGGCTCAATGCCGGCCTTCTTCATCTCACCAAAAACCCTCTCAGCCTCCGGAATATTCCCCACCTTACACCACCCATTCACCAAGCTAGTATAAAGCACAACATCAAGTTCAAATTTATCTTTTACACTATCAAACAACGATTGAGCATCGGCCGCCTTCTTTTTCTTACTAAGAATGCTAATGATAGCCGTGAATGCCGCCTTATCAGGGCGGCAACCGTAATCCTCCATTCGATTAAATGCGTGTATCGCCTCGGCTACCATTCCTGCCCTAACATACCTCCTAACTAAGGAATTAAAAACATCTACAGAAATTGGTAAATTACTAGTTTTCATCAAATCAATCAAACTCCATGCTAAATCAAACTTCCTTACCTTCCCAGCTAAATCGATCATTTCCGCAATAGCCTCATCCGTCAAGACAATAACGCCATTGTTATACTGGCCAACCACCCAATTGAAGAAAGCGAGAGCTTGAAGAAAGGGAACTCCATGGCGGACAATACGACACCGTTCGATAACAGAGGTTACGATTTCAGGGGAGAGAGAATCGACGGTGGAAAGCTTCGAGAAGGAGAGGGAAAGAGAAGGGATGGTGAAATTAGGGTTTAGAAAATTAGGGTTTTCTTCAAAATTAGGGTTTTTGCGGAAATGGTCTTTGATTAAAGAATGGAAATTTTCCGCGATTTGGGTTTCTTGAGGAGAGAGATTGGAAGGTTTTCTGGGTTGTTCTGGAGCTTCAATATCATCTTCATTGTCAGATTTCTGGGGTTGCAGAGTTTCAATGGCGGATGTGGAGAAGGGTTTAAGGGAAATTTTAGAGAGAGAAAATGATAATCTTGTTCTAATTAAAGCCATTTGAAATAAATGAAGGAATGTTGAAGAAAGCTTTAATTTTTGTTTATGGTTGTTAGAAATGGGAAATGGGAAATGGGAAGAAATCAAGCGAGCTTTCGCCAACGGAGGAAGCTGAGGTTTATGCCTAAAGCCCTAAACCCTTTAGCAGTGTACACAGTACAGAGGTCGGAGGACAGTATAAATGACGTCGCTTTAGATACTAAAATTAAGGCTTGTTTGATAAAGATTTACTGAGTTAAGCACAAATTCAGGTACTCAATTCTACTTTTTTTCACCGTTTAGGTACTACGGGGCCGTTTGGTTGGGGTTAATAATCAAAGGGAATCGGAATGAACTGATATCATTCCCTTTGTTGTTGTTTGTTTGTCACTTTTTTGATTCCCTTTACCCATTTTTATTTTTGAGTTCACCCATTTTTAGTCTACATTGATTCCCCACCCCCCTAGACTTTCCCATTCCCTTTCCCTAGCCACCATACCCACCATCGTTCTACTTGCCGGAACTTGCCCAACCACCTCGCCGTGGACCCAGTCACCTCGCCGAAACTCACCGCACTCCCCCCATCTCGCCGGAGCCCGCGCATCTCCCCCACATCTCCCCTCGAAAATACCTCCGATCCTCTCCCCGGAAAATGGGCAAATCCGCCATTGACGCAACAGGGGAGCTCCTGATCAAAATCCCAGCAACCATAGTCCACCTAATCGACAACCAACAAAGCATCGAGCTAGCATACGACAATCTCGAAATCCTCCTCCTCTGTCAAAACGACGCTGATGTTGACGTTTTAGCAAGAATCGGAGATCAACTCCAATGGCCTTTAACAAAAGACGAAGCCACCCTCAAACTAGACGACTCTCACTACTTCTTCACACTCTCCTCCAACGACGACGTTTTGAATCGGAGAACAAAAGGACTGGAAACTCTGCTGAAAAAACTCTGATGGTGTTTTCTAGGGTTTTTGCGTGGGTGGTGGAATTTTTTCCGGGAAGGGTAGGGGCTGTGAGGGGTGGGGGAGGTGCGCCGGGGGCCGAAGATTCTCGTCGACGTTGTGGCTGGGCGGTGGGGTGGCTCGTGGTGGCTGGAATAGTGAAGAAAGGGGATGTGTGGTGGTGATTCCTTTTGTATTTTGAAAACCAAACAACATACTACTTGGAAAGGGTTTCATTCCATTCTCCTACATTCCCTTTGTCCATTCCATTCCGATTCCCCTGCGCGAAACAAACGGCCCCTAAATTATTTTTGCTTTGCTTTTGGGTACTTAGTTAAGAATTGCGGCCAAAAATAATAATTCAATCTAAGAATTCAGTACCTTTTGTTACAGAATTCAGTACCTTGGTTAAATGAAAGTGGGCCCCACCCGATTAAAAAAATGCGCGGGTCAACCCTTTTCTTTTTCCCCTTTCTTATTCTTTATTCCCCCTTTTTGCCCCTTAATTCTTTCCATTTCTGGAAATATTCGCTGCGCATCAGTCGAAGAACACGAGCAGCTACATTCGAATCTGGGGAAAACGACAGCGAAAGCCGCCATTTTTTTGAGGTATGCTTACTTACTCATGGTTTTTGTTGTTAATTTGATATAAATTTTGAATTTTTTGCCCAATTGATGATGGTAATTGCGACTTAGGGTTTTGCGTTTTTTGGGTTTTTTTTAATCAAAATCAAAATGTCGATTTCTTGTGTTTTTTGTGTTAAATTTGTTGCTATGTTGTTTATTGTATTAAGCTTGTGTTGTTGGTGGATATTGATTGCATGTTGATTATTTATGCTCTAAGGTTTGATTTGTTGATCTGTTTTGCGCACTAAAATAGGGGTGGTTTTGGTGAAATTGTGTATGTGTGATTGATGATGTTGTGTGTGTTTTTCTTGTGCAGCAGCAGCAGGGGAAGAACCTAGCAGCAACTACTGTTTTTTTTTTTAAATATGGGAAAACCTTGTTGAAGAATTTGTGCCTAAATAGACATGGTGAATGAACCTGTTTTGATGATATTTAGTGCTGGTATACTGCTACAACTTCTGTGTTGTTGTTGTTTTTTTTTTTTAACTGAAATTGAACCAGGGAAAATCGTTTTGGATGAATTTTGGTTAAGAAAAAAAGGTGAATATGCCCTACAGTGATGCTAGTGTTTTGCAGGTGTTTTCATGGCATTTTTTTGGCCAAGTTCATGCCCCTTTAAATATAGTAATAACGGCTAGTTTCTGAGTCAAAGTTATGAATTTTTTTTTATTTTTAAAATATTAATTTTTTAATTAGGCATGGATAACCCCCAGAATTAGCAAGTAAAGAAGACTTACAATTGCTTACACTGACTATGATGGAAGGATCACACTTGCTACATGAAGCCCTCAAAGTTGTAAAAGAACTTCAGAAGAAATATGACGAGGTTCCACTCTCGAAAAATAAACCTAAGAGAGAGTTCACACCCATGGGAATGACCTATGATGCTACTTTTGATCATCTCTATAATCAAGGACTAATCAAACCTATTGGACCTACTGAGGATCCAACACCAGAAAAACGATCTTCAAGATGGGATTCCAAGTCCTACTGCAAGTACCATCGAGGAAACGGTCATACCACAAATGAATGCTACAGGTTTCAAAACCTCATTCAAGATCTTGTGGAAGCCAACAAGATCCCATCACCTCTAGCTAGCAAGGGAACGAGGAAACACTTTTCTTTGCAAGTAACCGATAAACCCAAAAAGAGTAATAGACTCTACACTCCAATTGGGATCCCATACGCACAAATGTTCAAAATTCTCTCCGAGAGTGGCGAAATCAAACCTCTCGAACCGAGACCATTTGAATCATTAAAAAGGACAGATAGATATTATTGTCAATATCATCAATCAGGGGGTCATACTATCGAAAACTGTTTTAAATTCAAGGATTTAATTCAGAAAATGATTAATGATAAGAAGCTAGTCCAAGTTCCACAAGAAGAGGATGCAAATATTAATGGAGTTTGGGACAGCGACGAAGAAGACGTCTATTTGAAAGACATGGTAGGACCTCCACCTTCGGTGCCATATGCCATGGATGACTTTTGGGTTGAAGAAGATTCATTAATAGATGTCCTCACAAGATCCGGGAGAATGCAACCTCCTGTTTCGACACAACCCATGCCAACCACACAACAAGTTCCCATTTCTATCATAGAAGATAATGAATTGTCAAACAGTTCAAGAAAACCAAAGTTGAAATGAATATATGGAAACTTCTGGCAGTGTCTCGAGAACATAGGTTGGCTATAATGAATGCCTTGGATAAAATAGGGATAGAATCTGACACCACTCCTAGGGGGTTGGCTAATTTCTTCACAAGTGATCTCCCTAGTCCCATCAATTTGATCACCTTTTCCGACAAGGATTTGCCCCCACAAGGTGACAAGCATTATAAGGCATTAAACCTCACAGTGGTTTTCAAGAGAATGAACGTCCCTATGACTCTTGTAGATAATAAATCAGCCATTAATGTCTGTCCACTTAGAATTGCGAGAATGTTAGGCATAAGGGATGAAGACTTAACCCCGTCAACGCAAGGAATAAGAGCCTATGACAACACTCGTCGTCAAGCTCTTGGTAAAATTACTATGAATGTAACGGCGGGAGCGATAGAAAACGCTACTACTTTCCAAGTAGTAGATATTAAAGCTTCATTCAATCTATTATATTGTTGGGACGCCCTTGGCTTCATGACCTAAAGGCTGTCCCCTCATCTCTCCACCAACAAGTAAAAGCTATAGTTGGAGGAATTCCTATTACCATCGATGCTTCACCCATGAGAATTAAATCTATAGAGAATCCAATAATTAATGTGAAGCATGATGAAGACGATGAAGATTTGTGGGGCTTCAATGAAGAGGTCTCCTTAATCGAGGAGGATGAAAGGACCCCTCTCTGCCACGACCCCCACTCCAACATGATCGTGAACGCTATTCTGAAGAAGCAAGGACATTTTCCTGGGATGACCCTAGGAAAGAAGAAAGGAATAGAAAAACCGTTGGAATCACCTGGCCTCCCTAAATTAGACACTTTCGGACTTGGTTTTGAACAGACTCGGAAAGATCTCAAGCGAGCTCAGGAAAAGTCGAAGGCACGTAGGGACGCTCGCATCCAAAAGAAAGCAATCCCAATGGATCAGTATCCTCTTACCCTTAATGGACAATTTATAAGAGAAGGAGAGGACTATCCATGTTACGAATTTCCCGAACCATTTGTTGTAAATGGCATAAGGCAATCGGGATTCGAAATTTTCTTTGCTATTTCACAGACGAAATCCCAATTTCTGTCCATAAGGAGAAAGCACCCCCATGCTTTGACTTTAATGTCATGGGATTATTATTTGGGCGAGAAAAGGATGATCCAATGTACAAAGGGGATAACTCCTCGCTCATTCAGACATTCCTACAAAGCGAAAGCTTCGATCCCTCGAAGCTAATCACTCCAGCGGAAGGATCACTACAAGGGTGGCGCAAGACCGTCAAAGTGACTACTCCAAGTGGAAGGAAGATCTCCATCACGACGGGGCAAAGACCGATGTTCGAAGAGTTGTCTGAGTCAGAGTCAGAGTCAGAGTCTCTCCCCATAGAGTCATCTAGGTCCTTAGTTGTAGCATCTCCTCCTTCTATCCCTTCCCCTAGAATAGTTAGTGATCAAGTCCCTGAGGACATATCACTCTTTGATGTAATGATCTTAGAGTTTAATAATATGGCTTCTTCTCCTTATTCTTTGTGTTCTTCTTTAACCCAAGATGATGAGCATTGCTTAACTAACAATGAAAAAGACAAAGAACTTATTAAAGTAATGGAAACACTTGAAAAGAAAACACCGATAATTGAAGAAACTGAGACGGTTGATATCTCAAATGATTCAACCAATAAAAGAGAAGTTAAAATCGGACTAACACTTAATGAACAAGAAATAACCGATTTAATTAACTTGCTTAAAGAATTCATCGACGTATTCGCTTGGTCATACGAAGATATGCCAGGCATTAATAGAGAAATAGCTCAACACACCATACCACTAATTCCAGGAATGAAACCTGTAAAACAAAAGTTACGTCGAATGAAACCCGACGTAGCTCTTAAAATAAAAGAGGAAGTTCAAAAACAAATAACTGCAGGTTTCATCAAGGTATCCAAATACCCCAAATGGGTCGCCAACGTCGTCCCAATTTTGAAAAAG